CGGTTCGACGGCCCTTTTTCTTCGTCGGATGAGTTCGCTGTCGAGTCTTGCCTGTGCGGCTCTCTTAAGTTCGGTTTCGCCTTCTTGTTCTGGGCTTCGTGTACGTAATGACTCAAGACTTGATAAGCTGCAGAAATGTCAATATTCCTCTTGCTGGAGGTGGAATCTGAATACCACGCCTCAAGCCTTAGCCAAGTCTTTGCGTTGCTCTGGTCTAAGACGGTAACTTCCTGGAGGTCGAAAGTATGACCAGTTTCTCCAACGTGCGCTGCAAGTTAAGAGTTGTGGTCTTGTCTTCAGGCTGCCGATTTGTGCTCCAGTAGGCGGGTCTGCAATTTACACCCGGCTTCTCCAAGGTAATTGCATGAGGAAATTTGGCATTTTTCGAAGTGTGTCTACGCACTTCGCCAGCCTCTTGAAATTTCAAAGGAAAAGAGCAGACTCGACAAAGAACCCTCGAACCTTGCCTAGAAAATGAAACTAACACCAGTTTGCCATAGTATATTTTAACATTGTGTCAGGGGTGAGCTGAAAGTGGGGAAAGAACTGATACGAATGTTGTGTTCTGCTTTTTGTCATCTGAGTGGTATGTCTAACGTCATTGTACTCCCTAACCTCCCAAAGTTTTAGATGGGTGTCTTATCATCTTCATGACTGGTCAAGGAAGTGGGCCAAAGCTCCATGTCTTCACCCTGCTTAATGCTTTGCTTTTTTGGTTAGGAAAGAAAAAAATAGTCCGACGGATAACGGGGAAGACCAAGAATGAAATTAAGTTTACACCTGAAAGAATACAATCTGTACATTGATAAAAGTTAGACACCATGTGTGGGCGCGTCCAGGCTACATCTGCCCCCCTTACGCAGAATAGGGAAGGTCAAGACACGCGTAGGAGGGGATAATGTGAAAGTTATAGTTAAAGGAGATCGCCAGTACAGTAAGTGATAAGGCGATGCCACTATACGCTGGTGGAGTCTGTCGGTTAAACTATCCAGCCGACGACACGTATGTTTTTTGTTCTCCTAAAACACCGAGTTTAGTTTCGTATCTAGAAATCAATCGCGTTCCATCCAATCCTTGTCCTCTTTCTCCGATGGTTAGACCCGCTACGCCAAACAATAATTGGCATGCGCTTTTTTGGGTACGTTTCCTCTACTGAAGTTTCCCCACTTGCTGCTTATGCTTGCTGAACGCATGCGATTTCGTATGTCAGCAACCCGTAGACGAACGTAATCATGTCACCTTTTTCCACTCCGTGCTCTTACCATCTGCCTCTTATTTACACTAGAAACTTCACTATGGAAAATAAGTTCATGATTAGACTACGCATGTCTGACTTCTGTTGATTCTTCATGTCTGTTGGCCGCAAAATGTAATGGCGCCATAAGCCGATGATGTTGCCGGCGTGTTCTGACTGGGCCAGAGTGCAGGTGCGCTTTATACATAGTGAATGTAGGGAAAAGTCCCTTTCGGAAACAGTTGAATTTTACTAGCATATATATATATATTTCTGTTTGTTCACTTGCGTTTAAAAGGACTGACGTAGAAACCGACCGTTTCTTTAATTTGGCTTGAATCCCGTTTGGCATCTATAATGACCACAATGGTTGACCTTGATGAATGCCTTTTTTGTTAGGCTGAACGGTCATCCATCCTAATACGGCGCATACGGTCATCCATGGATAGGAAGCCTTATTCGCTCTGAGTTTGCTCACGCATATTTAACGTTTTTGTCGTATAGCGTTCTGTGCTCGGTTGACTGACTTTATAATCTTGAATTTTTTATGCGTTTTTCTTCATAGGAGGCACTGGAGTTCAAGACCACCCCCGAGGCTGTTTCAAAAGATGCTCCTCTCCAGCGTGACCTCTCGGTTGATGAAAAGTACTTCAAGTAAGCTGTCGCCTGCCTATTGGATGAACTCGATTTAACTTAATTTTCCAAACCCAGATATATCCAGAATGGCAAGCATTTTACTGTCTTATAGACATTTTATTTGAATTTACTGCACTGGTTGAATTAGTCATCCCGACTTATTTGTTGTGCACTGTACTGCAAGCTTTAGTGCTGTGGTGTTGGCTCTAGTTTTTAGCCCACACAGCAGATTCACACTGAAAAAATATAGTTCGACACGCGTCCGTTTTTGATTATTCATCTTCACATCTGTACAGGTATAGAGGTCAGGGTTGAGCAGCGAAAGCCAAAATAGCGACGACAAAGGCGGTGGCCGTACTATCAGCTAATTCAGTTTTGCGTTCGCATAAAACACTTATACAGCCTCTCCGCCTTTCCTGGCTCAAGATGAGCCCAACATGTTCGTTCTCGCATCCTGCCGCGTCGCGCTACAGCGACGAAACGGAGACATAGCTCATGGCTGATAGAAGAGGACAGGCGAGTTCCAGGAAGAACTTCAGAAGGATAATATGCACTCGCTGGAACATGAAGTCTATTGGCTTAACGTTTCTTCTTCTCGCTCTAACGAGTCATCAGAGACAATCACAAAGCTATTTCTAAGGTACCTCCTCCCTCCCAGTGTCCTTGACAGAACTCGACTACAACTACCCTGACGTCAGAATGCCTTCCTTCCCCCCTCCCTCCCTCCCTCCCTCCCTTCCTCCTAACTAATGTTTATTGGCTGTCTTAACTTTCGTTGATCTATCATAGCTTATAGTATAGTATCGGCCGGAGAATAAGTAATCCAAAGCGTACGTTTGCCGAACCGGATTTGTTCAATGCTTACGTGGATATCACTGCTAAACTTGAGCAATCCAAAGATTCACATGGCTGTGTAGGGGATACATAGCCGTCCTGTG